GACTTAAGTTTAGGACCGAAAGACTGTAATTCGGAGGTAAAGATGACTTGCAAATGGATGTAAGCGTTGCATCCCTGGCCTCATCCAACTCATAGATACCATAGAGACTCGCTGTTCAATACAATCAAAAACAATATGTTAAGTGTTTATTAAAATTAAAATACAATATAAATATACAAATTTACCTAATTTTTTCATTTTATTTAATATCAATTCTGTGACCGACTCGTCGGTCGAGGCATCGAGTAATAGAGAAAATGCGCCCAAAATTCCGCAACAACTAAGAGATTGTATTATTAAACACATTAAAGAGTTGTAATTAATTTGAATATTAATTGTATGAAAACTAACGATGCGTTGAGAAGATTCTCATGAAGAAGACGAGTCTCTTCGGTGAGTGTATTAACTGTTTCGATGCGTTCATTGGTGTCGTTTACATTGTTTTTCAAATCAGATTCAATAACGTTTGTGAGACTTTCGACTATTTCTAAAACACAGGCAAACGCTGAGGAGAGTCCGTGTCCTTCGGGAGCGGACGGCGCCTCCAATTTGTCCAATTGCTCGATAAAGAAAGGCTTGTATTTAATTTTGGTTGTATTAAAAAGTAACGGAATATAAACTCCGCGCAAAAGGAAGGCCGGAGTCGGGCTATTAGTGTTGGACATTGAATTCAACGATGAATTAATGGACGAATTAGAAGATGTGACTACACTTGGACTCGAGTTGTGATTATTGTTGACAATGGATGCGATCAGGCTTTGAGTGGTGGACGAGTCCACGAACAGGAACTGTGACTTTATGTATATACACAACGCGTTCACTATATCTCGGAATATCTTTGAACTGTGCGGCTGTTGTTCAATACAAGACAAACAATAATTATAACTATAAATTTAAAACTTGCATTTAAAACTAAATATAACTTACTTTCATATCGTAGAAACGACACAAACAGCTAATAAGATTTGGTTGTATCATACGATATAAGGCCTCCAATGCCATCGAACCTAATTGTGAAAGAAATTAATTTTGGTATAAAGCAAAGTGTATACGAGTATGAAGTGTACATACGCTGCCAATTAGGTTTGTCGGGCTCTAAGGATTTAATTAAAAGTGACAAAAATATCTCGCTTTCCGTTATCTTAAAAATAGAGAAATAAATTGATAAATATGTCGAAAAAACACCAAACATTTGTTACATACAAGCATTGTATAGAACTTTTGAATCAAAACCGATACAATTCTCAATAGTCGTACAGTTATTGGCCAAAAGGGTTTGTCTGTAGTTTGCATAGCATTTGTTTGCAAATTCAACGTTTGCGTCCGGAGTTTAGTGTTTGGAGAGAATAACTTGATAACTAACTGACACACTCTCTCTTTCAATAGAAAACTGAATTCTTCGTGCTTTTGGTGACCAAATGATTATACATTAATTCAATTATAAAGCAATTTATGTGCAAAATATGAGTCAATACCTTATAGAAGACGTCGGGAAATGAAGAAAATATCAGTTCTAACAGTTCTAAGCCAAAGGTTCGGGTCATTTCTGTGAGTCCTGTCAACCAAAAGGGTTGTTCCGCATTAACCAATTGTACCAAATCCTAACACAATTCATAAAACGCTTACAAAACCAATATTCAAAATATCAATCAATAGTTTCAATACTTGGAAAAAGAAGAAGGCGTCCGAAGCGGCCGCACGTAAAGAGATTGGGATATATTTGCCGGACTTTATGTCATCAAACTTAATGTCGTGCACTTTGTTTGCTGTCAAACATTGAAAA